CACGTGACCCCGGTGGGGGGCTCGCGCGGTGCATTATGGGACATTTCCCATGATGCACCGTGCGGTTACGCCGACGCCGACGGCGACGCCGACGCCGCTCAAGCCGGAAACGGGCCCTAAGGGCTGCGCTCTAAAAAGTGAAAGCCGTTTACAACTCCCTGTCACGCCGAATTAGAGCGCAGCTCTTGAGGAGGAGGAGGGAAGGGTACTGGGGGGGGGGGTCAAGTAACCTTGGGTGGGGGTCACGTGACCTAGGGGGGTCACGTGACGATACGGATGCCGATGATGTCATCAGTAACGATGACGATGCGGATACCGATGACGTCATCAGTGATGCTGACAATGACGATGCGGATGCCGGTGACGTCATCAATGATGATGACGATGACGATGCGGATGCCGGTGACGTCATCAGTGACGTCACTGATGACGTCATCAGCGATGATGACGATGACGATGCGGATGCCGGTGACGTCATCAGTGATGATGACGATGACGATGCGGATGCCGGTGACGTCATCAGTGATGATGACGATGCGGATGCCGGTGACGTTATCAGTGATGATGACGACGACGATGCGGATGCCGGTGACGTCATCAGTGATGATGACGATGACTATGCGGATGCCGGTGACGTCATCCGTGATGATGACGATGCCGATGCCGGTGACGTTATCAGTGACGTCACCGATGACGTCGTCAGCGATGATGACGATGACGATGCGGATGCCGGTGACGTCATCAGCGATGATGACGATGCGGATGCCGGTGACGTCATCAGAGATGATGACGATGACGATGCGGATGCCGGTGACGTTATCAACGACGATGACGATGACGTCACTGATGACGTCATCGGGGGTCACGTGACTTGGGGAGCCACGTGACTTTGGGTGTCACGTGACCTCGGGTGTCACGTGACCTTGGGGTGATCTTGGGGAGTCACGTGACCCCCGATGACCCTTGGGGAGGGGTCACGTGACCTTGGGGTCACGTGACCTTGGGATGACCTTGGTTACGCCGACGGCGACGCCGCTCAAGCCGGGAACGGGCCCCTAAGAGCTGCGCTCTAAAAGTTTTTTTAGAGCGCAGCTCTTAGGGGCCCGTTTCCGGCTTGAGCGGCGTCGGCGTCGCCGTTGGCGTCGCCGTCGCCGTCGGCGTCGGCGTAACCGCGCGGTGCATCATGGGAAATTTCCCATAATGCACCGCGCGAGCCGCCCACCGGGGTCACGTGACCCCCTCCCCGAGGTCACGTGACCCCCGCCGATGTCGCGTGACCCCCGATGACGTCATCGACACTGATGACGTCACCGGCATCCACATCGTCATCGTCATCATCACTGATGACGTCATCATCAGTGATGACGATGACGATGCGGATGCCGGTGACGTCATCAGTGATGATGACGATGACGATGTGGATGCCGGTGACGTCATCAGTGATGATGACGATGTGGATGCCGGTGACGTCATCAGTGATGATGACTTCATCAATGATGATGACGTCATCAGTGACGATGACGATGTGGATGCCGGTGACGTCATCAGTGATGATGACGTCATCAGTGATGATGACGATGACGATGCGGATGCCGGTGACGTCATCAGTGATGATGACGATGTGGATGCCGGTGACGTCATCAGTGATGATGACGATGACGATGTGGATGCCGGTGACGTCATCAGTGATGATGACAATGACGATGTGGATGCCGGTGACGTTACCGACATCCGCATCGTCATCGTCATCATCACTGATGACGTCATCAGTGACGTCACTGATGTCGTCACCGGCATCCGCATCGTCATCATCACTGATGACGTCGTCAGCGACGTCACTGATGACGTCACCGACATTCGCATCGTCATCATCACTGGTGAAGTTATCAGTGACGTCACTAATGACGTCATCGGTACCCGCATCGTCATCATCACTGATGACATCATCGGCATTGGGGGTCACGTGACCCCCAAGGTCACGTGACCCCCCAAGGACACGTGACCCCCCTGGTTAGTCTAACCCCCTCCCCACCCCCAGCGCCCTTCCCTCCTCCTCAAGAGCTGCGCTCTAATTCGGCTTTACAGGGAGTTGTAAGCGGCTTTCACTTTTTTAGAGCGCAGCTCTTAGGGGCCCGTTCCCGGCTTGAGCGGCGTCGCCGTCGCCGTCGGCGTAACCAAGGTCATCCCAAGGTCACGTGACCCCCAAGGTCACGTGACCCCTCCAGGTCACGTGACCCCTCCCAAGGTCATCTCAAGGTCACGTGACCCCACGTCTCTCAAGGTCACGTGACCCCTCGAGGTCACGTGACCCCTCCCAAGGTCCTCAAGGTCACGTGACCCCAAGACCCCACGTGACCCTTTGAAGGTCACGTGACCCCCAAGTCACGTGACCCCCGAGGTCACGTGACCCCCGAGGTCACGTGGTCTCCTCCCCAAGGTCACGTGACCCCCAAGGTCACGTGACCCCTCGCAAGGTCCTCAAGGTCACGTGACCCCAAGGTGACCCCCAGGTCACGTGACCCCTCTGAGGCCACGTGACCCCCCGAGGTCACGTGACCCCCCCTCCCCGAAGTCACGTGACACCCCCCCCCCCCGAGGTCACGTGACCGCCCCCCCGGAGCATATTAAAGAATGAGGGGAGGAGGAGGGGTCTACCCTCCCCTCAGTACCCTTCACTCCTCCTCCTCAAGAGCTGCGCTCCAATTCGGCGTTACAGGGATTTGTAAACGGCTTTCATTTTTTGTGCGCGTGATTGGTTTTGCCAGTGATGGAAAACGCGCAATAACGAGGAGCCAGTGACGATGCACTTTTTTCGCCGCTTGATTGGTTCCACCATCAAGGCGGCTGTACTGCACACCGGCCAGAGCGGCGACCTCTGAAGGGCACCTGGGGCTATAACATGGACACTTGGCGAAGAAGTCGGCGAGGAATTCGGCGTCCGTGATTGGCCGGCGCCAAGGTCAAGCGAGGCGCCGGCCAATCACGGCCGCCGAATTCCTCGCCGACCTTTTCGCGAAGTGTCCGGATTAGAGTGCGGACAGGGCTCCGCGCACGCCGCGGAGGCGTGCGCGAAGCCCTGTCCGCACGCCCCTCGCGGCGAATTGCACAAACGTAGATTTGTCTGGGCGAAAAAAAAAAGTCGCGTGAAACGCACTGAAGTGATTATCATCATCATCATAATCACAGTCCCCCTTCCCAACGCTAATGGGGTGGCGGTGCGGACGGGGCTTCGCGCACGCAACATACGCGTGCGCGGTAATCGCCTCCAGCGTGGTTCTTTCGGAAGCGGGGCAGCTGAAAAATGCGGTCGTTCAGTTACTCCGTACGTCCGCGCTCGAGTCGATATATTCGCACAATTAACGAGATTTACGTGGTACTACAATCGATACAACGGCGGCTGTCCACTTTTACGTCGTTCCAAACCGCACTCTCTTAAAGCTGGCTTCACCGAATGCACGGAATTCTGCGGAGAAGGGACCTTACGGGCGGAATGCCGCTGTGAGTCGCCAGGCTTTCCCCCACCGAACAAGTATGTGCTATTTTGCAGTAAGGAGTTTTTTTTTGCGCTTGTCCGTGTCTACTCGCTTTTGCGCTTGTCCGTGTCTACTCGCTTGTACTTGTCCCCTGTGTCGCGCAAAAAAAACCTCCTTACTGCATCATGAACCAACTAGGCCAACAACAAGTTTTATGTGCTATTTGTTTCATTTCAAGGGTTATTTGTTCCCTGTAGTACGCTCAATACTATGCAGAAGAGGTGAGCCAATTATATGTATATATATATATATATATATATATATATATCTGTGCGTGTGTTTTGTGCGTGTGTGTGTTGGGTACTCCATAGCGTCACACAGAAACACATTTGAATCAGAAGCCACGAAACCCTTTTGCACACTGTTTGAGGGTTCACATCGTACGACCAAATCGAATAAGCATCTCAAGAAATTTCGTAATAGACCTCGTTAAAAAAAAAAAAAAGTCGTCTCCTGGAATTTTGGCAACGGAGCTCCAAGCTCCTACTCCAACCAAAACCCTTCCCCAGATGCGCACCTGGACCCTAAGGGTTCGAGGCTGCCACCGCCAAGACCCATACCCAATTCAATGTGTGCCTAGATATGAGAGTGTTTCCAATCACTTAATCCGGGTCACGTGGTTCGCGTTTGCAATACAAGGTGATTGGAGGAAGCGAAAGGCGTTGACCATCTGCGAGTGTTTCCAAACTTTGCCCAGCCTCTTTGGCCGCCATCCTCCTCGTCGCGCGGACACGCACGCACGCGCACGAGCACCCCATTTGCGCAGGACGTTTTCGCCATTGATTTGGAAACGCTCTCCGTGGTTCGAGGTCCTCACTCTCTTAAAGGGGCGACGCAACGATTTTTGTACTTTGCGCAAATACCGCTTCGAACGGATCCGTGGCGTTAATGACCCGTGAAACACCGGTTCGTTTTTTACCACTCGCATTCGGAGTACCAGCAAAATTAAAGAAAAACGAGCAGCGTTCACCTCCTCACCTTGCAGTCAGAACAAGCGGCCACGTGATCAGGAGCCGATTATATGCCGCCAATGTTGATCATAGCCACGCGCTGGAGTTGGCAAGGCACAGGACACGCGCTGAGTTCGACATTGTTAGGGTTCGGCTATTGTCATCATTGCAGCAACTGGACACGGGCCACTACCCGAATGCTTCTCGAGCTATCAATTATCACGAGCCCAAATCGAGTGCCATGCAATTCCCGGGTACAACCTATGAGCCGCATTCAAATATCGTATACTTCGATCCCCAGTTACGTCATCAAGTTTCGCGAAGAATAGAAAGAAATAAAACGCTCGCTTTTGTCTTTAAAATTACACCGCAACAAATGCGTTTCTTGGTCAGTGGCGTTGCGTGCGAGTATCCTTGAGTCCCACTAGTGCGAGTAAGCTGGTATAAAGTGAAAGACATTCTAACTTCATATCGTAGCAGCGCCCTTTTCAATCTAGGCTCACTAACGGTGTCCTACCTGAGGAAGGACTGTTCGCTGGTCAGGTCGAAGAGGACGAGGAAGCCCATGGCGTCGCGGAAGAAGGCCGTGGTGAGGCTGCGGAACTTCTCTTGTCCCGCCGTGTCCCACAGCTGCAGGTAGATGCGTTGGCTGCGGCCGCCGCCCTCCGGGGACCGGTACGTCTGCGGAGAGCAAGAGGCGTCCGCCCTTGTACGCGAACCTGCAGACCGCCTTTCCTAAAGTAGTTTCTCTGGTGCTTCTTTGTTTCTTTTTACGTCCACCCTTTTCGCAGGCAGGAAATGACCCTCGAAGTGGCGCATACTATGCGGCCAGAAATTGAGGGAGAGGAGGAAACGACAGTGCGCGAGCGACGTCAGAACACCTAGGTCTGGTTCGGATGATTGGTGGGCATAGACGCAAAGCTAGCTGCCTCTGTCTCCACTCGCCGAACGCGTTACAACGCGAAACGCCAGCGTCTGGCGTTTGGCATTCGCGTTCGAACCCGTTTTAACATTGCAGTGGAGGCAAAAGCTGCCTTTGTTTCGAGTGCACTCGTCCTTTCCAATGCTGCCCCCGGGTGAAGGCAGAGGTGCAGGCGGGCGATCCCAGTCCCGCTCTCGACTCCGGCCCGGATCCAAGCACCGGTCCAGTTCAAAGGAGCCGCCACCGCCGCCACCACAGCCACGGCAGAACCACCACCAAAAGCAGCCGGGACCAAGCCAGCAGTCAGACCAACAACAACAGGTGAGCTGGGCAGATAGGGTCTCCATGCCCACTAAGCCTCAACATAAGGACAGTGGCAGATCCGCCCTAGAACTACAGCTAGCCCAAATTCAGTCCGTGTTGACTCAAGTGTTAAAAGAGAACAGAAATCTTAAAGCAGAAATCGCTCAATTAAAGACAAAGAAAATAAAAGTCAGGAGCCGCCCACCGTCAATTACCAGCGAGAAAACACCAACCCCCCCCCCCCCCCCCCCCCCCCCCCCCCATGCGCAAATAGCCTCGGTTGCTGCGGAAGGCCCGGTGGTGACGGCACCGCCGCTGAAGCGGAAAGCCGAGGAAAACCCGCAATCAAGAGACGAACTACTCGAAAGTCTAACGGAGCTCGTAAAAGCGCAATTCGATGCACTTAACTCAAAGATAGAACTATTCGAACAGCGCATGGACAGAATTGAACCTAGAACTACAGCCATCGAAAGTACACTCGTGGAGAGCCGTCCCGCACCCGCGGGACCAATTAAGAGCACAAAACCTTACCAAAGGCCCGCCGCTACGGAGAGTAGCAGTGACAACAGCAAGGCCACAGGGGGACCAGCACATTGCAACTAGATATGGCCCCGAACAGCAAAAATACAGAGTACACAATTTGGCAATGGAACTGCCACGGGTTTCGCCGGAAACGGGGAAACCTTCAGCAGTTCCTCCAAAATTCTTACAGTAACGATAGAAAGGAGGAGGTACCAGATGTCATCGCCTTGCAGGAGACGATGGGACTTCCAAAATTAATGGGGTACAAATCATATGCCGGAGCCTCTGACGGAGGCGAAAGGGAAACGCTAGTTGTAACCCTTCTAAGGAGAAACTTAGCGGTGATACAGCACGAAACCACGGTAGTAAACGTTGAGCACGTCCTCTAAGAAATTATACCATCAAGCAAAAAGGAAGGCAGCCTCTTTGTCCTAAATCTATACAGCTCTCCAAAACAGCGACAGGGGTTCGGACCCCTGCTTTGCAAAACACTCGATATTGCCAAGAGAAACACGGTGGTGGTCGTTGGGGGCTTTAACGCGCCGCACCCCGCATGGGGCTACCGAAGGGGCTCCGTCAAAGGACGGAGCCTTTGGGCGGACGCGCAGCACGTTGGACTAACCCTTGTCACCGATCCCCAACAGCCCACGCGCACGGGTAACAGCGTGAGCATAGACACGACACCGGACCTCACTTTCACGAAGAATGCACCGGAGCCTAAGTGGGTCAACACGCAGGACCTGGGTAGCGATTACTTTATTATTGCCACGACACTTCATCGGGGCCCACAGAGAAATGGGGCAGGAAACTCACAATGGTAGAATGGGACACTTTCAGACAGATACAAGGGAGCGAGCGCGAAAGCGAGCACGAAGTCGAACACGAAGAAGCACGCAACAGTACCACAGACGCTACCACAATTACACACATAGAGCAATGGACAGGCCACGAAGGAGATCCCTGAGGAAGCTGGACTAGGAACAGCCGACAGCAAACTCCTTCATCTGTGGGAGGCTCGTAACAGCCTACAGGAAAAATGGAGACGCCAGAGGCTGAATCAAAACCTGCAGAGGAAATAGCAAGGCTCGACAGAGACACCGAGGACCACGCCAACCGCCTAGCCCGGCAACAATGAGAGTCCACATGCAGCAGCATGGGGGGCCAACTTGGGCTGCGCAGGACGTGGAACCTACTTCGCTGTCTCTTAGACCCCGACAGTAGCAAGACGTTACAGAGGCAGAATTTCAACATCACGCACACGTACAACGGTACAGACAAGGAACTCTTACACGAGATGCAGAACAGGCACATACTACAACGAGGGAAACTCAAGAAGACTACACGGGTAGGGACAACCCCACGCTAGACGAGGAGATCACGGAGGCCGAGGTGAGGGCTGAGATACTCCGACTACGCTAAAGTCAGCGCCGGGCCCAGATGGCATCACCAAGAGACACTCAGAAACCTGAACGACGAGTCGATTGAAGTAATTACGAGATACATGAACGAGTGCTGGGAGCGGGGCGAAATACCGCAGCAGCGGAAGACTGCGCAAGTGGTAATGATGCCCAAACCCGGCAAGAAACTACAGATCGAGAACCTCCGGCCCATCTCCCTGACTTCCTGCGTGGGGAAACTGCTGGAGCACGTAGTTCTCGCGAGACTAAACAACCACATGGAGGACCGGGGACTGTATCTACACACAATGATTGGGTTCAGACCGCATCCCTCGACGCAGGACGTAATGCTCCAAATCAATCACCACATACTCGACGCCCGGGACAGGGCAGCAGGGCTGAAAGCCATCCTGGGCTTGGACCTCACCAAGGCCTTCGACAACGTCACACACAAGGCGGTTCTGGAGAGCCTCAGGGACCTGGGGGCAGGCCGCAAAGCCTACCCCAAAGTTCGGGACTTTCTCTCGAATCGAACGGCCAAACTAACGATAGGAGACATAAAACCCGAAGAGATAGAGCTCGGCAGCAGGGGTACACCGCAGGGTTCGGTGCTGTCCCCCTTTCTGTTCAACGCAGCGATGATCGGCTTGTTGAAAATCTTAGATAAGATCAAGGGCCTCAACCACAGTCTCTACGCCGACGATGTTACCCTATGAATGACAAGCGGCAGTGAGGCTCAAAAAGAAGAAACGCTACAGAGAGCAGCGAAGGCAGTCGATCGCTACGCGACGGAGAGGGGGCTCAGTTGCTCGCCGCAGAAATCAGAGCTGCTGTTGGTGTTTCAAACAATGGACACGCATGCTCGTTGCAAACACTATTGACAGAATTGTCTGCGCACCCCATGAATGTTCCAAGCACGTTTGCATCATACATGCGCGTGTGCTTCCTACATATATTTCTACAGACAGCGAAATGACAACCGTGACGGGAGAATCCTTGTCTTTTGCACAATGCACTATCTGGGTGACCAAGCGCCCTTGGACATTGTGCGTAGTCTATAGACTCCCGAGAACTGCGGTCATCCGCCTTGCCCGCGTATGGCATATATACTGCGGCGTTAATTTACCGAGAGCCAGCCATGGCGTGTCGGGGCGGTGACGCGCGATGGGATTACGAGCGCCATGAAAGCCATAAGGCGGTCGTCAAACGAGCACTCTTTGCGGCGGAAGAGACCCTCCGCGCTTTGCTGCCGCTTTTTTACGCCGCCGGTGGCCCAAAGTAAACTACCCGCGATTTTTTCATAGTCTCCCAAGTGAATCGCGCTGACGGCGCTTCGTCCGTCGGCAAGCTCGGGATATAGCTTTGCCGGGAAAACGTTGTCGTCCTTCATCTTCTCGGTGTTTCGTCTACTTTAAGCGGAAACCAAAAAAGGGAAAGCCGTCACAGTGTGCTGTTCGCCGCGTTCACGCTCGCAAAACCTTACGCTGCGGTCACACTAATACTATACGTGTCACAAAAGACAGTGTACAGACAGTGACTGGCGCGTGTTTGTTCCTCGTATACATTAAAGTCACTGGATCCTGGGAAAGTAGCGCCATTGCCTTCCCTACCTGCTAGCCGGACACAAACGGATACTAACATACAGACGACCCAAACCTCGCCAGGCCATTGGCTAATCGGCGTACGTTGCCATGGAAATCGCCATCTCGGTCCATTTAAATCTTCGAAGCTTTCAGGGGGTCGTTCTAAACATGTCGCGCCAAGATCACCATGGGGCATCATCGTACTGGAATCGTTCCTCTTCAATATAAGAGTCTTTGGCACTTCGTATGCGATCACTTTATTAATCAGGCCCATCTCCATGGATCTTTTACAATTATATTGTTCCTCTTGCGCATTTCAAGACAGTAAACTTATTTTTCAGTGCCTCCAAGCACCGACACCGCATCTGGTGGTGGTACGAATGTGTACGCCTGTTTCGCCGGTGTGTGGTTAGCAAAATCTCGGTATTCAAAAAACGACTCAATAAGGCTACCCGTCACCAGCGAATCTAGATAGGCTCACCAAGAACGGAGGGGTCAAGGAGAAATTGCTAATTTCATGGACCAAGATGGCGACCACACGCGGAGCTTGGCGTTACTTTCCCAGGATCCAGTGACTTTAGTATACATGACGGCCCTTGCGCACTGACGCTGATACAAAAGCTGCCTTGCAAACGTACGTTCGAAGCATTCATAGATGCCCAACGCAAACGCGCTTCCAACGTGCTTCGGGCGTGTCCGCATGCTCTTTCATCGTGTCCGGAGAGAACTACGCGGGTGCGAATACGGGTGCATTTTTTTCTCTCTCTTTCCCTCTCTCTAACCACCCCATCGCTATTAGAAGCGTGCGCTTAGACACTGGCGCCACGGTGCGACTCCTAGAAAAAGTATTTCGCGTAGACCACGGCGGGACTGGCATAGACATCACGTGTGGCAGCCAACCTTATAGTTTCTATCCAACGTCGGTTTACCTGAACGTTCGAAACCACAATCGCC